AACTGAAAAAGTTCTAAATAGTCTAAGTATAGACTATGAATAGATTTAATATCCATAATATACCTTGATAATGTACAGCAACACTAATGTACATGCATAGTACGTTTTGATGGTGATCATATTTTGACGCACATAGCATGTTTACATACATATATACATTTTGACATACATAGCACGTTTTGATGGTGAAAAAGTGTTTTACAGTCGTTTAACGTTGATAAATCAACGTTAAAAAAACTATCATTTTAAACGTTGTATCAACGTAAATTCAACGTTGTTGTAACGTTTTTTCGCGTCGAATCAACGTTGATATAACGTTTGAATCTAACGTTGATTTAACGTTGAAAAAAACTTTCATTCTAAACGTTAAATCAACGTTAATTCAACGTTAGGTTTCAACGACATTTCAACGTTATTTCAACGTTATTTGCCGGCTGGGACTGCTACTACTATTACTACAGTAGATTATTAGATCTACGATTTTTGATATCTTTTGTCTCTGTAATACTCTTTCATGAATAACAAACAGAAACAATTTTGACTTTATTACATTTGCAATAAAAAGTTTAATATTCAAAAGCAACACAACTCTAAAAAATTAGTTTTTTTCGAGATTTGTGACTAACACACACACAAAATACTGTTAATTTTTGTCTTGCGCATCTTGTGGTTCTCGCAACTCCTGGCTCAATCTTTTCTACAACCATTATAAATGATACTGCTAACAAGTATTTGAAAAGTATTTAGAACTTTTAAAGTATTTAGAACCATGCGCTTTTCCTTTTTCGCTTTATATGGTGAACCGGTGAGTATAGCTTTTTTCCCTTTTTAGCATCGTTTTCAAGGTTGCTGAGTTTAAACATTCGGAATACTTTCAATTTCTTCGGGTGTAGCAATTGTGAAAAAAGCCATAGATGTCGAGGCCAATGTTTGTGGTTGTTAAAAAAATATCAGGGATAGAAGTGAGCAAAACCAAATATCCGTTACGGTTTGTTAAAATTGGATTCAGATTTTAACAAACCGGACCAGATATTCGGTTTTGGTCACCCCTAGTTAAAACTTCCAAGTTGGAAGTTTTAACTAGTAAATATAATATTCTATTCAAAATAAACATTATAATGAACAACTTTTCAGAAAAGCAACAGGCACTCTTTTTGACATAAACAAAATGAGGGTAACTGTTTTACGAACGCAAGGTATGTTTGTTGCCATATTAAATAATATTTATCATAAGGAAATGTTAAAAAACGGTTGTGCTTCCATATGCGGTTATGCCCCCACTTCCTAATACAAAAAGCGCAATTTTAAGGAGCAAAGTTACAGTGTATAAATTAATTAATGCCTTTTTTATAATATATGTATTGAAAAAAGTTATGAAGAAAAAATACTTTTTAATTTTCTACAGTAGAATATTCCCATTTTGTTATCTCATTACTATAAAATAAAGCGCTACATACAAATGTCATTAAATTGCATTTTTCAGAACATAACATCAAAATATATATAAAGTTTATCTAAAAATAACATTTCCTATCTGTATCAAGAACATAAAATATCTAACCCACGCAGAGTTTTTTGATTACCATATTGTTATTTCATTATTTAAAAAAAAATTGCTGCATACAAATGGCATTACTGTTGTATTTATGCGGAATACGACAAATAAATGTAAACTTGTGCTCCTGTTATAGGATATATATAAACAGAAGATTTTAGTAACTTGGCTGTGTATACTCCGTAGAAACATTGGCTGTGTATACTCCATATATTGGCTGTGTATACGAACCTTTATTTGTGTTTTTGCATCAAAAGCTACGAGATTATCATTTTAAATCTTTTGAGGTTACTATTTTCAGCTTTTTATATATCCCTACTAACAGAATCCTTGTTTCTTTCAAATTAAGTTACTTGAACTTCCTTATAATAGGAACTATTGTATGGCTCTACTATATAATACTGTTCTTTCTTGTCAAAAATATTTTTTCGTGGTGGTGGTGATTTATAATAGCTTCTTTATTATAATGGTACTTCAGTCATTTCTAGGTGTTTATAGTTAATTGAAAGTAACAATATTAAAAAATTTGAAAATGTTTATAGAATTATTAGGTTTTTGCAAATTCAAAAATGATTTCAAATATTACATTGGTTTAGATAGCAGATAACCAGTTGTGAATTTTTTTTTTGTGTGTGGCTTAAATACGTCATTAGCAACCTTAAATTGCTTTTTAGATTATTTAACCACATATAGCAATCAAAAACGTAAATATATAAAAATTGCACAAAATTTAATAGTTTGGAATTAAATTTTGGGCAAGTTGCACGAAATATGGTGCCTTCAATAATTCGTGCAGATTTTTTTTTTGGATCAAACTTTTAAGTTGTAAACTCTTTATATATATATATATATATATATATATATATATATATATATATATATATATATATATATATATATATATATATATATATATATATATATATATATATATATATATATATATATATATATATATATATATATATATATATATATATATATATATATATACATATATATATATATATATATATATATATATATATATATATATATATATATATATATATATATATATATATATATATTTATATATATTTATATATATATATATATGTATATATATTTATATATATACATATATATATATATTTTCTAAATATATAAAGTGATTTGAAAATGTTTGATAAAGTGGTGTGAGAAACTTGTTTTAAAGAAGTTTATTACAGTAAAATTTAGAAGTTAATGGATTGTATAACCGATTTTAGCATAAAAAGTAACTCGATTGAAAATGATCTCATTAACTGAAACGTAAAATAATGTGCAATAAAATTAAAGGGATTGAGTTCTTTTTTGATGCTAAATGCTGTTTGCAAGAAATTGGTGCCCAAACTTCGTCAATTTACCCTGCACTTACCAACAATCTTAAAATAATATTTTCATTCATTTTTTACAACAATCTTATATTATTTTTTTGTTAAATCGGCACTTTGCTTATTTAACTTTATTCATTAGCCCAGCCAACAAGTCATATTGGGCCCCACATGGGCTCAAGTGGGCTGTTTTACGGGGCCCAAATGGGTTGCCCACATCCCACCCAAGGAAAATTGTCGCTGGGCATGAACTGGGCCCAAGTGGGCAGCCCATATGGGCTGCATATGTGGGACCCACATAGGTTCCATTTTTTAATTTATTTAAATTTTTTATAATATTTTGAATAATTATTTATTTTTAAATTAGATACATATAATTTAATATGGTGTCATAAATATATGACTTGAGTCTAGCTTTATAGAAGTAATACAGGAAATCAAGTATAGGGTATAGAATAAAGGTATAAATATAGAAAAAGAATAAGTATAAATGTAAAAATAGGTATACATATAAAAACAAATTGGTATAAATATAACAAAATAGGTATAAAGCAAATAAAAAATATATATAGAAAAAAAAAAAAAATAGATATAAATGTAGATAAAGGTAAACAGTAATAAACATTAACAAATATACCACAGTATTTAAATATTAAAATAGCAAAAGTAATAGTCAATTAAATAAAGATATATAAACCTTATATTCCCATTTCATTAACTCTGAATTGTTCTCTTTAAGACGTGTCATTTTATTAACATTTTTACTTGTGGAATTATAAAAACTCAAAAAGCGTATATACTTTCAAAAACTTTTTTATACATAAAAATTTTTTTTTTTTCAGTCTTTTAAAACTGACTTTGTAACTTTTTTTGTTTAAGTTCTCTTTAATGTTTAAACAAATAATTTTCAAAAACAATTTAAAACTCTTTTACTACCACTAATACATGGCCTTAATAGCAATATTACAGAGTCTTTAAAATGATTTGACTTTAAATAAAAAGAAGATTTTTCGAAAAAGATTTATTTTGAATTTAGTTTAAAATTCGAGAAAAGCTTTGAGACGTAATTACATTTGAAAAACGTAAAGGGGTTTTCATAAAGTAAGTGTGGTATTGTGATTAATACTCCTCCAGCTAATTGCCTAGCGGAGTACTCATACCATCACGCGCACAATCGGATGGGATTTAAATTTAGAAAATCAAATGGAACTCAACGCTTTTTTAAATTCATATATGGGCCCTAAATGGGCCTCATGTGGGCTAACCCTTGCATTCAAAGTTTTGTATTCAAGGGCTAGCCCACATATATAAAGTCCACATAGGGCCCACCCATATGGGCCCCAATAGGACATGTTTGCTGGAAGGGATCTGACTATTTTTAAAAAATTATATCTATATTATTTTTAAAAGATTATCTCCGTATTATGTTTTTTGTGGAGTTTTTGTGTAAGAACAGAAAATGTCAACTTGCAATTAGCATTTTCTTGCAACTTTTTAAAAAAATGCCACACTCCAAGTCACTCGATGATATGGTAGGCGCCGAATATTTCCAAAAATATTTTTTTTCCCCAAAGTATATCAAGTTGGGTCTCAATCACTTTTCTATGTTATTTCTGTTTAAACTTATATTTTTTCTCTTTTTATAAGACGAGGAATGAAAATTAACAATAAAATATATTTTTAGTCATATCTATAATATTCAGTTTATACTACATTAAGGTTTACTCTTACTTTATATTACATTAAGTTTTACTCTTTAATAAAAAATGGCCATTATGAAAGTTTAATAAGGTTTTGTAAAGTTTTTTATCATAGCTATTCTTTAAAAGTTTTTCACCCCTATGCAATAGCCAAAAAATTACTTTTATTAAAAATTTTATATTAAATACTTTTATTAAAAATTACTTTTATTAAAAATTACTTCTATTAAAATTTAAAAAGCTACTTTTATAAAAGAAACTTTTAGGTTTAATTTTTTAACAATAACGTCTTAAAAATGCGTCGTTTTAACGCATTTTTAAAGAATTGTTGTTAAAAAAATTTTCGTAAGATAATTTTCTGCCGATGTTTACCTTTCAAATTGCCTTTAACATGACCGTGATCTACATTTTATTTTTTTAATTTTTAATTATTTTCCTGAGTTTTCTAGGCTTTTTACTTTAACTGTAAATTTATAGATATATGT